TTGTCCAGCGGAACGATCAGCAGGCTGTCCGCGACGTTACCGTGGAGGGCTACATGCGGGATTTAATGAATGTTTCTGAGGCTACGTTCGAACGGGAAGGCCTAGACGTGATTGAGCCCTGCGCGAGCCCTGCCGCATCGGCGCCTCCGATCACCATCTCCTGCTCTGGTCAAGTGGCCCTTAGGGAAATCCAGGATACCTTCTTCAACGTCTCCGTTCGTCATGCCCTCTTTAGCACGCCTTCTAGACAGATGGAGGAGCAGATCCTCGAGAAGAGGTTGGACCCCGCCCCGTTCTCGCTTCCACCCATGCTGCCGAAGCCGATGTCCACCAAGGGACGGTACACGCACATCGAAGTTCCATCCATGCGGCGTTTTGTCACCGATTCGGGCAAGCTGGCCAAACTGGACGAACTTCTACGCGAACTCAAGGCGGGCGGTCACCGTGTGCTGCTGTACTTCCAGATGACGCGCATGATTGACCTGATGGAAGAGTATCTCACCTACCGCAACTACAAGTACTGCCGCTTGGACGGAAGCACCAAACTCGAGGACCGTCGTGACACCGTGGCCGATTTCCAACAGCGGCCTGAGATTTTTGTGTTCCTCTTGTCTACCCGTGCCGGTGGTCTGGGTATCAACCTGACTGCCGCTGACACTGTCATTTTCTACGATTCGGATTGGAACCCGACCATTGACTCGCAGGCTATGGATCGAGCGCATCGTCTCGGCCAGACCAGACAGGTGACCGTCTACAGGCTCATCACTCGCGGCACGATCGAAGAGCGAATCCGCAAGCGAGCCCTGCAGAAAGAAGAGGTGCAGCGCGTTGTCATTTCGGGCGGTGCGGCCGGCGGAGTTGACTTCAACACTCGCAACCGCGAGAGTCGGACCAAGGATATCGCCATGTGGCTGGCGGATGATGAGCAGGCCGAACTGATCGAGCAGAAGGAGAAGGAAGCTCTAGACCGCGGTGAGGTGTTTGGCGCTGGCAAAGGAGGCAAGAAGGCGGCCCAAAAGAAAAAGAAGGATCTTACGCTTGACGATATGTATCACGAAGGTATGGCGCGACTCCCAATCCATGTCCATTGATGAGACGGTGCTTACTTTTTCTTTTCTACTACAGGGGAAGGAAACTTTGACGATATCAGCGCGAAGCCTTCAGGTGCGGCAACGCCTGTATCAACTGCGGACAACATTGGCACACCCTCGTCGACACCTGTGCCCAAGCGAGGACGAGGACGTGGCAGCGGCAAGGGATCGTCGAAGCGAGCTAAGACGACCACGGAGCGCTTGCGATTGATTGATGGTGACGGTGGACTGGAAAGTTGATATGCACATCGACTATGACCGATCCCAGACATTACTAGATACCTACCCGCATGACTGAATGGGGCTACGGCGTTTTTTGAGGGACTACTGTGATTTTGATGGATTTGTGCTTATTGTTCACGGCACCTTGTTGTTTCTGCCTTGTATTAACATGCCAACTTTTCTTTCTCTAATCTACGTGACACTTTTTTTGTGAAAGACGGCTGGAGGGGATGATGTGAGATGAAAAGCAAAGAGAGATTAAGCTGATTGGGATTGACGAGGCGATAGACGAGCACGCGGCTGTATGCGGCTGGATTTCCTTCATTGTTCTTATTTTGTCCATTCATTATTTTGTCCTGATTGGCGATCCGGTTATGACTTGGGACCCTGATCCAGATTGGGGAAAATGGGAGCTTCTTGTGGTGTTCTCTTCCTTGGCACATGATTTGCCACGATGGATGCTGGTGAGGGCTTCAGCTGAAGTGAAGGATTCTTCTTTGTTTGTGTCCATTCCTGGGGCGACTACAAAAATCGTAATGTATGAGTTCATGAAAAAATGGTCAAGGTCAGCATCATTATGTCGTATGTTTGTCAAATTGCACACTCCGAAGACGGAAAGAAAATGCGTGAGGAGACCTCACCTCGGCCACCGCGGAGGATTCCGAGGCTATGCCGCGGGTGTTCCGTTTACCGTACTTTACCTTATTTTACCACATTGCCCACCTTTCCCCAGTATCGGATCATACGGCTACGGTAATTCCGTAGAGTCTTCAATTTTCATTACCAGCCAATCACATGCCGCGTATTTGCAGCCACTATTGCCCAAACAGGCTTAGCGGTATGGCCTCCCCCTCCCGCAGTCCCCCGTCGGTGACTGAGGCCAACTGAGGCAACGGTCGAGTCACACATTGGCTTTTAGTCATCGTCCACTTCTTTTTCTCGGTTTCTGCGACAGGTGTTCTGCTTATACTCGGCGGCGACTGGATCCAATCTCCTGCATCGGCGTCTGGAAAAGTAGTGTCTGTGAAAACCACAAGATTTCGGTCTATTTGTCCCTTTCCTATTTCTTTTCGGCCTTCTTCCCCTCCCAATTCGACTTTCGTCTTGCTATCTACCTTCCGTCTCAACACCACGAAACCAATTCCTGCCTCGATTGAGTCTCTGCTCACTCGCTGCCGTCACCATGGAGTCTCTCCTCCAGCAGTCTCGGGCGATGTGTCCGTTCCTCAAGCGCACCTCTCCCACCACTCTGCGTACTCTTGCCACGGCTACCCGTCCCAGCATCAGTCCCGGAGGAGGTACCATGTCGAACCTCCAGGTCATCGCTCGTCGTTGCCCTGTGATGAGCAAGGCCCTGGCTGTCCAAAGCGCCCGCATGGCCGGCGCCAAGAGGTTCACCTCCTCTGCCGCTGGTGTGCCGGGTATGAGCAGCAAGCATTTCCGTCCCACTCAGACCAGAAGAGCGCTGCACGGTACTGGAGGCAATGGCGCCAACCTGAGCCCTGATCTTTACAAGAACACCGGCAGACGTGCGTACTTTMTCGGCGTGATAGATTGAATATACATAGCTAATTGATTGCGAACAGTCGAACCCACCTTTGGCAACGGCAAGGGCAAGACCCCACGGACCACTTCTCCCGCGACGGTTTCTGGTCCCCGTCCTGAGGCTCCCGTTTCCGCTCCATTCAACTATAATGCTTTCTACCAGGGTGAACTGGAGAAGAAACACAAGGACAAGTCCTACCGCTACTTCAACAACATCAATCGTCTCGCCAAGGAATTTCCCCGTGCTCACACCGCTTCGGTGGAAGAGCGGGTGACCGTGTGGTGCTCGAATGACTATCTCGGAATGGGTCGCAACCCACAAGTGCTGGCCACCATGCACGAGACTCTGGATAACTACGGAGCCGGCGCCGGTGGTACTCGCAATATCTCGGGACACAACAAGCATGCCGTGGCTCTGGAGGACACGCTCGCCAAACTGCATGGCAAGGAAGCGGCGCTGGTGTTCAGCTCGTGCTTTGTTGCCAACGATGCCACCCTCGCGACCCTAGGAAGCAAGATGCCCGACTGTGTCATCCTGTCGGACAGCTTGAACCATGCATCGATGATTCAGGGTATTCGTCACTCCGGCGCCAAGAAGATGGTCTTCAAGCACAACGACCTGGTCGACCTTGAGAATAAGCTGGCGTCTCTGCCATTGCATGTTCCCAAGATCATCGCGTTCGAATCCGTTTACAGTATGTGCGGGTCCATCGCCCCAATCGAGGCTATCTGTGACCTCGCCGATAAGTACGGCGCCATTACCTTTTTGGACGAGGTCCATGCTGTGGGTATGTACGGTCCCCACGGGGCTGGTGTTGCAGAACATCTTGACTACGAGATCTATGCCTCTCAGGACACCCCCAACCCTCGCTCCACCAAGGGAACGGTGATGGACCGTGTGGACATCATCACCGGTACTCTGGGCAAGGCGTATGGGTGCGTCGGAGGCTACATTGCCGGCTCTGCGGCTATGGTGGATACCATCCGCTCCCTTGCTCCCGGTTTTATCTTCACGACCTCGCTGCCTCCGGCGACGATGGCCGGAGCCAACACGGCCATCCAGTACCAGGCGCGTCACAAGGGCGATCGTGTGCTGCAGCAGTTGCACACTCGGGCTGTGAAGAAGGCACTGAAGGAACTGGATATCCCAGTGATTCCGAACCCCTCTCACATCGTACCTCTTCTGGTTGGCGATGCCGAGCTTGCCAAGAAGGCCTCGGATAAGCTGCTGGAGGAGCACGGAATCTACGTCCAGGCGATCAACTACCCGACCGTGCCTCGCGGTGAGGAGCGCCTGCGTATCACTCCCACTCCGGGACACGTCAAGGAGCACCGCGACCACCTGGTGCAGGCCGTCCAGGCGGTGTGGAACGATCTGGGCATCAAGCGCACTAGTGATTGGGCAGCCCAGGGTGGATTTGTCGGTGTCGGCGTCGAAGGCGCCGAGGAACAGAACCAGCCCATCTGGGAGGACGCACAGCTCGGCCTGGTCGAGTACGAGTCTCTGGAGCAGGCGGTCGAGCGTGAGTTCCAGCAGGCGCCTCCCATGCAGACCGCCACTCCCACACACCCTGTTGCGGCTCCCGCTGCCTCCATCCCCGTTGGCGTGGCTGCATAGATGGGACGCTGCCTTATTGGGTAGTGTATCTTGCATATATAATTCACCTCCCCTTGCACCTGCAAAATCTACGTCGTTGAAGGTTTGGGTGCAGGTCCCTTGATATTCCTGCTCATTGACAATGTGACCTTGTCCTCAGATACATGCACTTGTATGTATTCACAATTCCTTTGTACGAGGAACATTCACATATCCATCCGGACCGGTCTGTCCTTACCGCACTTTGGGTTCGATAGATCAATTCAAGAGCCAGTCTCTACCTCTTGCATTTCTCACAACTATAAACCCGTCGTAGATGGCTTAGTTCGTAGATCAAGACATTGTAGGTCTCTATAAGACATAAGTGACATTTATAGTCCAACGATCGCGCTATCATCTAGTTAACTACAATGGAACCCCAACGCCATGACACCATGAGACAAGCGCAGTATTGCGGGAGACGGACATCCCAACCCCAACTTTTCTAGTTTATCATTTTTCACATCTGAAAGGAAAAGAGACCGCAAGGACGCAAGGACAGACAATCATCTCCTTCCACCGCGGCTCACCTTGGGAAACTCCACAGGAACCTTGAGACGGGCAATCCGTCTCGCGGCCGCCTCGGCCTTGCCGCCCTTGATATTCCATTTCGCGAACTCGCTCTCGCGTGGCTTATCGACGCGGCAGCCCAGTTCGCGGAAGTACTGCAGGATGGTGGCGCTCTCGAGCCTCAGGTCGTCGCGCAGGTCGGCGGGGTCGGTGGCCAGCTCGTTGGGCGAGTTGCCGCCCAGGGAGCTGGCGCCGCCGTCCTTGGAGGGCTGCGGAGGGATGTGCAGCGACAGGGCGCAGATGGTGGTGTGCAGGAAGGTGAGGTCGTTCTTGGTGAGGTGGGAGCCCTGCGGGGCGAACTTGCGGCGGATGGCGTCGATGACGGGGTCCGGGAGGGTGCCGGCGTCGGATTGGCTTGTAGTCTGCTGCTGCTGCTTGCCGGTAGAGGCGGGGTTGCCCGAGGCCGAAGAGAGGATGCGGCGCAGTTCCTCGCGGGGCGGGAGGCGCTTGCTGCCTGGTCCGGCGGACGATTTGGGGTCTCGGCCGGAGCGGAGGGAGCGGGAAAACTCGAGCAGGAGAAGGATGAAGCGGAGGAGCTGGAGGTGGGTGGTGTTGCCGGACTTGACGACCGCCTCGACGCGGCGGGAGACGTAGCGCGAGGTCGTGGCCACGGGGAGGCCGGCGGAGACGGTGTCGGCCCACTCCTTGACGCCGGGGAGCTGGCGGAGGGTGGCCAGCCCGTTGGGAACGAGCACGTCGATCGGGTAGACGTCAGCCGGGTGCGTCGCGTCCAGGTTGGCCTGCGGGATGGGCTTGTTGGCTTGCACCTGCGCCTGAACGGCGGCTGCCTTGGAGGCGATGTCGGCCGCGGCGTCGGCGGGCATGGACGAGAGGATGGCTGACTCGGCGGCGTTGGCGGCACCTGCGGGCGCGTTGGACAGCTGTGCGTTCTCGGCCATTGACTGTGCCGCCTTGCGTGATTGTTTCGTGCCGAAGGTGTTGGTGAGTTCGGTGCGTTGCGTGCGCATGGTTTTCTATCGCAGTCAGCATCTGCCAATGAGTCAAGCAGCTGTACGCAAAAGCAGAGAGCATACCGCTTCCTCCTCTTCGCTGCTCTCCTCATCCTCCTCCGTCAGGGGCTTCATCCTCCTCACGGCTCCTCGCGCCGTCAACTTGCGCACCTCGACAAGCTGCCAGGTCTTCTTTTCCGGGTCGACCACGGCAACGTAGTGCTTAAGCTGGGAGTCAGCGTCCTCCTCCGCCTCGCGGCCCACAAAGTCCAGCTTGGGGTGCTCGGAGGATTGCAGCAGGAGCTCCGACGAAACAATCCCCTTGTTGCGATTTGCCGATGACGAAGAATTTGCGCGGGCTTTGAGGTACGGCGTAAAACGCAGGTTGCGGGGGGCGTTGACGCCGGGGGTGGTGACTGTGCAACCTGTCAATCGATTTGTGCAGGGTACAGCAAATGTATATCATTCGTACTTATCACAGGAGCCAGCTCGCTATGCTCATCTACTACACTGGCCGACAGAGGTGGTAGGTCCTGGAGCTCGAGTGCGGGCTTCTTGCTGGGACGTTCATGGCGATCAGAGTCGCGCTTGCGCTTTTTTTCGACTTTATCTGATGGCATATTGTTCCTTTAGGAAGGAGAAAAGAGAATGAAGAAAGGTATTGCTGAATGGCGTGGTGTTGTAGCTTAGCGACGTTGGGACTGAAATGTTCTTTCGAAGGAAAAAAATTGCCGGGTCCAAAATTTGGTTCTCCGCACTCAAAGGCGGAGATGCTCGTTATTGGACACACAAACCAGAGCATGGTGAATTGGTACATGCCCGTTATTCTTCATTATTATTACCGCGATAACTACTGTTCTGCGCATTTCAAAGCTCTCAATTAGGATCTACGATACTGAAGGGAAGCTTTGTTGTCATCGTAATTTTTGCCATTTCATTTTTAGTAAACTCTCGAGGGACACCTCTCCATGGCTCAAGGTCTCACTAGAGAACAAGACCCGAAGTAAGAAGCGAGCAATTGACCGGCCCTCATACGAAACCCAAAAAGGTTCGGTGAACAAAGACAGTACAGGGATGAATAAAAATGAAGAATCACTTTTTCTTCAAAACTTTCCCACCGACCTCTCCAACCTCCACCGAACACAGTCGCCTCTCCGAGAAATAAGGACACGAATATGCGTATCCCACACTGTCTGATCAAGAGAAAAGATTATCGAAAACGTTGAAGTAAGCCCGAGGAGGATGGAAGCAGGCTGTTGGACGGCGGACTCCGAATTCGAACACGCTTGAATTGAGGGAATTCAATCGTAAACAACTTTTCCTGGGAAATCGGACCAGACAGGTACTCATTGGAGCGGCTGGACCACGGAACGATCATAACAAGGAATCATCATCGTAACGTCGTCGGAATATCATGTTCGGCGTTCAACTTGAGCATCGACATGAAGAACCGAGATGGAGTGGGCGAGACGTTTATTTCCTATAGAGAGGATTAGCACCAGACCCAATTGATTTCCCATCACTTCGATTGGTGATGGTGATGAAGAGGGAAACTCACGATCTGGCTCTCATCTTTCTTCTCTTACGCTTAAGGCGACGAACGCGCTTCTTTCTCCACTTGGCTCTCATCTTCGTAGATGGTTCGAGACTGAAGCTGGTCAGTCAATTGCCTGAAGATGAAAGTCTTGAAGGTGAGGGGGGGTTCAATACTCACACTGCTGCGAGGATGAGAAGATGGTTGCAAGAAGGATGGAGAGCTGCGGCGGAGCAGCTCTTTGTGTGCGCTGTGGCTGACTCAGCAGAGTATGCCACTAAGGGCTCGCTAGTGGTACGGCCCCTCTGATTGGCTCGTCAAGTATGCACTGAGATGGCTCTCTTTCACTACCGAGCTCATATTACGTCAGCCGGAGCTGTTTACTTAGTTACCATTGAGTGCAGGACCTCGCCAACATTTAGTCTAGGTAGTACTCGATAAGATGTTAAAGACATATCTATTACGTTTTGCTGTGTCTATCTCTCAGTATATCTACACTTACTGAAACCGTTGCGGATGTGTAGTGGCGAACTGACATCAATCATAAGAGTATAGTTCATGTCATGACGTAAATATTTGTCTATCCAACGAGATATTCAAAACGTTCGTGGCTCCATGCAAGCGTTGATAGGAAGCCCTAACCCTACCTTCAAATACCTTCCGAATATATCAATAGGTATAGCGGTAATTGGGTGCAAGATCACCCAGCTGTTCTTGCTCCTCCGTAGTAAGCTCAACGGTAGCACCGTTGGCCATCGCGCGATCACGCTTCCGGTTGTCGTACCAGACCGCTGCAAGATAGGCGGTACAGCATGCTGCGGAGAAGCAGAGGAAGGAAAGACTGATGATATACCCATTCCGGTACAGGGGCGCGTCCTTCGCCAGGAAGGAATAGGTAGCAATGATACCGCCAACTGGTTATGCTTGTCAGCGATCACCCTCTCTTACTGTCGACGGCATTGCAGAAACTGCAACTTACTGTTACCGAATCCGATCTGCCATGCTGTTCCCACGCCCCGGCGACGGTGTCCACTCAGGTTCATGGCGTACCAACATACAACGACGGCCATTGAGCTGTAACAACCACCGGTCACCATGAAGAGTGCCCCATACTGGACATGCCGGTGAGCCACGCCGTGAACATTCAACAGGATCCCAAAGCCGCCCATGGCAATCAACATGGGAATCATAGCAAAAATGTAGCGGTGTCTGAATTTATCAGAAAGGGTGGCAATCAGCATGGAGAAGGCGAACGCCGCTGCCCATGGGGCCACTGAGTAGAGTTGGGTTTTGATCGCTGGTAGCAGACAGTCAGCAGAGCTAATACTCGCAGAAATCTCTCGACACATACCGGAGTAGCCATAAGTTTTGATAATAGTCGGGGCGAAATACGCATATCCTGCACGCTGTTAAGAACGGAACTCATCCAAGAGCCATGTCGAGTCCAGCTCACCGTATGCCGTGACAATCTGGCCGAAATACATCAAGCCGCCAATGAAAATCTTATCTAAGAACATATTTAGCAAAACGCAAGACCAGAAGTCTGGTGCACCCCTCACAGTCCTTAAAGACAGCCAGCACATCACGCACGGTTAGCTTGACATCTCTGCCAGCGGCGCCGACGTCCTTTGCAAGCTTCGCACGAATGAACTCTCGCTCTTCGTCATTCAACCACTTGACGTCTTCCGGGAAGTCTGGAAGCACGAAGAACCAGACAAGCGAAACAACACAGGTGAGGACGCCTTCGATGATGAAGACCCATCGCCAGCCATTGTAGCCTCGAATCCCGGCCATTTCTCCAAGACCACTGGCGAGAAGACCACCGAATGCGCCTGCTAGGGTGGTGGAGCTAAAGAAGAAGCTGAATCTTTTCTGAGCCTCGCTGCGCTTATACCACATTCCCAGCAGATAGAAGCCTGCCACGTCGCGATTGGTTATTTACTAGGCCAATCGTTCTCTGAGGAAACAGACTTACACCCAGGGAACATTCCCGTCTCAAACATGCCTATCTCATGTACGTTAGGTCTCATTCAACCGGCACGTATATCTATATTCTGCGATGGGCTACATACCAAGGAACCAGCGAGTGGTCATCAAGCCACCCCAGCTCGAAACCAATCCTTGACAGATCGTCACAAACCCAAAGAAGAACATGCATAATGATACTGCGGTATGTCAGCAGACTGTTCCTATCGCGGAACAAGACGAAGTACATACACCATACATGGGGCTTCAGCTTCTTCAGCAATATGTTGGAGGGAATCTCGAACAGGACGTACGGTACGAAGAAGATGGTCAAAGCAGTGTTGTACTTGGTATTTTCGATATTTAGATCTTTCTGCAGCCCGAGAATTGCGGCATTGCTGATGTTGACTCTGTGACGGCGCATTACAGATGTCAGTTCATACACGGAGTAAGGGTTTTGAGGATTGCATACCGGTCCAGAAATGCGAGCAAGTACATGACACACAGGCACGGCACGATATGCCAGTCAATCTTGGCCATCAACTTGCGCTCTGTAGTGGTGGTGAGCGGCGGGAGGTCTGCGGACACGGTATAGACCTCGCCCTCAGCTTTGCCATTATCTGTTTCGGAAACGCCTATGTATGCAATGAGGGGTTAGCAGTCTATTTCTCTAGGGAGTGATGTCTCAAAAAAGGAGAGAAATATTGTCGACGAGACGCACTTTTTGAAGCCATGATTAATTATTTCAGGGTGCAATTATTCCCGTACCCCTTGGCAAAGGCTGACACAGAAAGCTGACACGACACAAGACGAAAAGAAGCAAGAAACAGATGCTGCGCAGGAGAGAAATGCGTGTCTATTTCTCACTAAGCATGCACGGCGGCACGGTGTGACCTTGTGGGCAGCCGTGGCGAGTCAGGGACAATTAGCAGTGACTCAGACCTTTCTATTTGTCAGATCATATCTACTAACTATTGTCCGATCCTAGTCTACAAATAAAGGGATCTTCGAGGGGCTGAACAACCTATGCGATCCGTCTTTTGGGGATCGGCCATGGCCGAGGTTACTGTACTCCAACGCCAAGGAGTCACCAGCAAGCAGCCCAGGAGAGGCGATGGGTGGATGCGACCGCCGATGCGGAGATAGCGCTTATTATTTGCGAAGGCCACACGTAATAATTCAATTGACAGACAAGTCAACAGAAGACTATGTACTAGTACTACTCAGTAGTAGCATCACGAGCATGCCCAGTTGACGAATCTCCAATCCTCAGTGCCGAGCGATTCCCCGCAGATTTCCCGGGGCCAAGCTTTCTTTTTCTTTGGACTTTGGAGCATCTCCGCACTCCTATCCGCAGTAGAGGTTGGCTCTTGTAGAATGGGGAATACTGTTTATCCAGTATTCTCATGGATATAACTCCATGAACCATGACTAAAAATCTATAATTTGGGTCCTAGGAGGATCTAGTAGATGAGATTGCATTGAACCCCTTCCTGATATTATAGCTTGGATCATTGACCAAACTGATCACCTTGAATAGCATTCCACTCCGCATAATATCGGGTTGGCGGACATTGATGGTATTGCGGTGATAGCTCCGCGCAAAGGAGTAATTCTGTCAACTTGCAATGCTAGGTCCATTGACAACGGAAAACTGAATGGTCGATGGCCACTCTAGTGGACATGCACAATCTACGCAGGTATTAGAAGACGCCAAGCAGCTGAAAACCTTCGCCAGGTATTCTGGATTGATATCAGTCGGTAATCATACAATCAGCACAGCTTGAAATCTCCAGGATTGACGCTATGCGAGACATATAAGCTGAGAAGGAACCATCGAGAAGACTAAGGGAGGGATAAATGGGCACTCGGGAAGCCAAGCCGTCCATTACAATTGAAACAGCTCACTCGCTCGACCCCTCCTCCACTGCCTTGCCCCATGCCTTCTCGAAAGCCAAGTTGTCCCCAGCTACTGCGCTTGAGCCAGCTTGGTTCAAATCTTGGATGTCATCCTTGTCCACCATCACCGGAGCCGTGGAAGGTGTATCAGGGCGATCTCTTTCGGCAGCGAATTGTTCTGCTTTCTGCTCCGCGCCTGGCGGCTGGAAGTCAAAGTTCGAG